TAAAAGCTATATTAAAATTTTTCTAAATTTTGAGTAAAGATATTTCAATAACTGCTAACCAAATTTGATAAACTTTTTTATTTAAATTTTATAGGTTTTTAAAATTAAAATAAAAAAATTCATTAATTTAGCTGAGTGGTTGCTAAGATATTTTTGCTCAAAGTTTAAAAAAATTTTAGTATAGCTTTTACTTTGATAAATGTTTTGAGTTTTTTTTTAACTTTAAATTTTGACAACCACCAAGCCAAATTTGATAATTTTTTTATTTTAATTCTACAAAGCTGTAGAATTCAAATTAAAAGTTCATCAAATATAGATTAGTATTTGTTAAAATATCTTTATTCAAAGTTAAAAAACTCAAAATATTTATTATAGTAAAAGCTATACCAAAATTTTTAAGTGAAAATATCTTAATACTCATCAAACCAAATTTGATAATTTTTTTTATTTTAATTCTACAAAACTAAAGATTTAAATAAAAAAGTTTATCAAATTTGGCTTGGTGGTTATTTGATATCTTCAGTCAAAGTTTAGAAAAAATTTTAGTATTGCTTTTACTTTAATAAATATTTTGAGTTTTTTAACTTTAAGTGAAGATATTTTAATAACTGCTAAGCCAAATTTAATGAAAGCTGTAGAATTCAAATAAATATGTTCATCAAATTTGGCTTGATAGTTGTCAAGATATCTTCAAAGTTTAGAAAAAAATTTGGTGCAGCTTTTAGTGTGATATAATTTAAGTTTTAACTTTGAGTGTATATATCTTAACAATCACCAAGTCAAATTTGATAAACATTTTTATTTTAATTCTATAAAGCTGTAAATTTAATTTATCAAATTTGGCTTGGTGGTAGTTGAAATATCTTTACTTAAGTTAAAAAAACCCAATATATCTATTAAAGTTAAAGCTGAGCCAAAATTTTCTTAAACTTTGAGCAAAGTTATCTTAACATCCATCATATCAAATTTGATAATTTAATTCTACAAAGTTGTATAATTTAAATAAAAATAAGGTCATCAAATTTTACATGGTAGTTGTTGAGATATCTTCACTTAAAGTTAAAAAAAATCTAAAAAAAATTAATATATAGAGATAAGAATAAAATCCAGAGTATAAATAATAGCTACCTAAAAATATAATAATTAGTTATATTTTTTTGACTACTATAAATTAAACATAAAAATTATTACTATATAGTATTACATATAATACTTACAGTTTTTTTCAAAATATAAAGATGAATTAAATAAGATTATAAAAATAGATAAAGAGAATATATTAAAAAATATTAATAAGTTAATTATATACCTAGTTTATTGATTTAGCTACTTAATTGATACTAAAATATTTTTTAAAAATATTAAATAATCTTCAAATATTTGAATCAAAATATTTAATCAAATTTGAAATTCAAATTTGATTTTTTTTTTTTTTTTTTTACGGTTTATAGAACGACCTCATTGGTCAGGGGTTTCTCTTTATTATTAAAGTATCTGCAGTCGTATTTTTACGGAAGGGTTTACAGTAACATATCAATGAGAGTACAATAAGCCACACATATAACTTTAGTCATTGTCTATTTAAGGGTTCTGCCCATAGGTTCTCCACTTATTGCCATATCTAAGACCCGCTTGTGAGTTCCCTATTTAAACTTTCTAATTTTCAATGTTATTATGCTCATGTGATTCTTAATTTAGGTACTTGGTCCAATCTTCAGGCTACTTTACCCATGAGGTAAATTCTACTAAAGGAGGTAGTTCCCACAGCTACACCTTATTCAGATTTTATTGCGCTAGAGGTGATTCCATATTAGGTAAAGCTAATCTTTTCCACAAACATCAGCGACATTCCCATATTTCTCACTATAGTAGTGTTCACACTCCTGGTTTCTTTCTGAGAATTCTTTAAACCAAACGTATACCTTCACTTGGATTTCTACAGGGCTTAGCGTACAATTATAAGCTCCTTTTTAGGTTACAGAGTATTTTACCTTCAGCCAAACTCAAACCATTGACTTTGTCTATGGGAGAACGGGAGCTTATCCATTAAGCTATGAGATCCAAACCCCAATTCAAATTTGATTTAAATATAATTAATTTTAATTTAATTAATAAATTATTATTAAGCATTTATATTTAGAAGCTATTTACTAAATTTATTAAAATATATAACTTTTTTATTTTATAAAATAGAGTATTTGATTAGTTGGAACAGGATCTCTGTAACCTTGGTGGCATCAACAAAGATTGGAAGATTATGAAGCATTCATGCAATATATAAGTTATACAAAGGCATGCAAGCTGGTATTAGTTAGTGCAAACCCAAGATAAGACCTCATATTCATATAAATCTAGAGAACCGGAAAAATAAACATCTGCTTAGCAAGATCTGAATAAAAAAGTAGCACAAACTTTTAATAGTTGCTACTGGAATAGGCTTCATCCTAGGCTGATATAACTGAACAAAGACCAGATATTCAGAGAAAGATACTCTACAACTAGGCTGCTGGAATCGCTGGAAGAAAAGGATCTGCATTGCAGATACTAAGAGAACAGTATTTCATCCAGGCCATTTAGATTAGTAATTTGGAAGACTGGCTAAGAGGTATTGAAAGAGAAGGTACAGGAGTTTGGGTAAACTCTACAAGAGCTGAGTAGATAATGGTAGCAGCTTTGGCTCACAATTATTTTTCTTTAGACTTGGTATAAGTTACCAAAGTAGACTAGATAATATGGTAATATTAGGTACTGGACTGCTCTAACAAGTGATGACCTTGAGAATAAATCAGTTAAGCAAACTAGTAGTCCTATAAGTAGCTTGCAATGATTCTGAAACTTGGACTGACTAATGTATCGCATGTTCCAGGTGAAGTTAGATGGATTGGCATAGAAACCTCAGATCAGAGGCTTTAATTGGTTAATCTAAATAATTGTAGATTACAGATATGGCATCTAGTATAGAATCTAGTAATAGGCAGACTACTTAATTAGATACTCAAATGGTACAGGTATGGCTAGAATATACTCTTGTCAAAATGTACTTGTCTGGAGCCCCTTGATAAGGGCACTACATGATTCTATAATTTAATTAAAGCGAATAAGCCAAAGAAGCTAACCTTGACTATAAAAAAAATAAAATATTTTATTAGAAGAACATTTTATTTAAAAGCTCAAGATTAATTAATATAGTAAATTTTTTTGTAAATTAAGATTTTTTAATAGATTTTATATTTTGTCACCTAGCCAATATGGGCTATCGCATATATCATGTGCTTATTATATTGTGTGATGATTAAAGCTAGTATTTTAGTAATGTCATATAACCTTCGAAATAAATTGTAAAGCGTGTTTCTTATATCATGTAATATAAATGCACTGTGGAGTAAATTTTTAAATCGAGTATACATACATTGTTCACTCGATTAGTTAATATAAAAGAAGTACATGAGCATTATTTTACTTCTCTTTCACTTATAATTAAGAGTTTGTGACAAAATTACTCGTGAAACTGTGAGGTTGGAATCGTGTTTTGTTAAAGAAAGTAAGATAGATAATGAAAAACTGAAGAAAAAGTAATATTAAGGCACGCTTATCAGACGGAATATATCAGGTAACTTTAAGCATTTCTATTTCTTAGCTTTTTATAATCCTTAATACAAGCACCAAGTCTTTTTTTTTGCTTATTTTAGATGTTACATACAGTGTTCAAGTTGGCTTTTTTTTTAATTCTGAGAGTTCTTACATGAAGAAAAGCAATACTTACCAGACAAACTATATCAGGTGACTTCAAGTGACTTTAAGTGTTTTATTTTCTTGGCTTTTTATAATCCTTAATACAAGCCCCAGTCTATTTTCTTTTTTTCTTTTTTTTTTTGCTTATTTTAGACATTATATACAGTGTTCAAGTTGGCTTTTTTTTTTGATTCTGAGAGTTCTTACATGAAGAAAAGCAATACTTACCAGACAAACTATATCAGGTGACTTCAAGTGACTTTAAGCGTTTTATTTTCTTGGCTTTTTATAATCTTTAATACAAGCCCCAGTCTATTTTCTTTTTTTCTTTTTTTTTTATACTTATTTTAGACGTTACATACAGTGTTTAAGTTGGCTTTTTTTTTAATTCTGAGAGTTCTTACGTGAAGAAAAGAAATACTTATCAGACGAACTATATCAGATGACTTCAAGTGACTTTAAGCATTTTATTTTCTTGGCTTTTTATAATCCTTAATACAAGCCTCAGTTTATTTTCTTTTTTTCTTTTTTTTTTTGCTTATTTTAGACGTTATATACAGTGTTTAAGCTAGTTTTTTTTTTTTGATTCTGATAGTCCTTATATAAAAAAAAGCAGACAAAATATATCAGGTGACTTCAAGAATTTCTATTTTCTTAGCTTTTTTTTACAATCCAAATACAAGCATTTATACCTTTTTTTGTTTGTTTTAGACATTAAATACAGTGTTCAAGCCAGTTTTTTTTTAACTCAAAAAATTTTCAAGTAAAGAAAGGGCACATTCAAGAGCTTATAAACAGAGCTTATATAGAGCATGAACCTGATCATTGTACTCGCAATTATATAGTTTTTTCGCCATCACAAGCATTATTTTTTTCCTCTATATTCTGATGGGCAAAAATTTAGAAGTTTTTTTATATTGATAGCTTAGAATCAGATGTTGGTTTAGAATCAGAAATTGGTAAAGATAAGTACACTAATATCTTTGTTTTACATTTTATATGATTACTTATAACTATATATCAATAGGTTGTAGCTTGGCTACTACTTGTGAAAATGAAACTACAACTTTGTATTCCGGCAAAAGGTTTCTGACCTGGGAGGTCTGTGAAAATTTCCTCAAAGAATGGGCTAAAAAACAAGGGTTTCATATTATTAAGGACTGCGTTTCTCGTGAAGATAATATTATTTATAGACGGGTTTTTTTATGTGAATACAGCCGCTCTTATGATTCAAATTCACATAAAGATACCAAAACAAAAAAGAAAAAATGCCCTTTTTTGTTAATGTTTCTTGTCCAAAAGTTAAGAATCCTGAAGGTTTTGTAATTATCAATAAGATCAAAGATGAATATAATCATATACTAAACAGTAAAATTGTAGAATATGAAGATGCTAAAAGGTTTTCTGATTCGATATTAGAGGATATAAAATTTATGACCATGCACTGCAAATTCGGGGCTACAATACAAAGAAAATTTCTTGAAAGAAAATATCCATCGCAGCCAATTCACTTACAAGATCTTTATAATGCAATCCAAAAATTTTGACCTACTACAAAATCTTTGTCAAGTGACGCTATACAGATTTCAGGATGGCTTGATCAGCAAAAAGATAGAGATCCACGTTGGATAGTCATTCTAGATTGGAATGATGATAACACCTTAACATGTTTACTTTGGATGAGACCAGATCAGGTGGAAAATTGGATTCAGTATTCGGATCGTGTCCTTAATGACATTACACATAAAACTAACCATTATAGTATAGCGCTATTATTGTTCATTGGGTTCGACTCTAATTGTCATAATCTATTGTTAGCACAAACGCTTCTTGCAGATGAAAGTTTGGAATCACATATTTGGATGTTTCAACATATATATAAGGCTACCAATGTTCAACTATCTGTTATACTAACTGACACTGATCTAGCTGTTGATGCAGCTATTCATCAAGTATTTACTTTATCATATTCCATACATTGTGCATACCATATCACTCTAAATTTGCATAAAAATCTCAGAAAACTGTTAGGAGAGGATTATGAAAAGTTCCTTGAAGACTTTTATCTCTGTCATAATAGTTTAGTTAAAAAAGGATTTCAACGATGCTTTGATAGTCTTATACAGGATTATACGAAAGCATGAAGTAATATGAAATTTTTTTATAAGTCAAGAACCTATTGGGCACACTGTTTTACAAATTTCAAATTTACGGGTAGCATGATCGCGATATCATGCGTTAAATCTGTCAATGCATGCATAAAACGTTTATTGCACAATTCAACCGTTTTATTATGTGAACTTACAAGTGAAATTCATAGGTTACTTAATATCCAGGACAGAGAAAATGAGTACAATTTTTGGAGGTTGGCTATTCCTGCTGTAGATATTAGACTCGGGTTGAGTATTACTCGGTTTACGCACAGATAGTTGGATATCCAGGTTGTAATTACAGCTACCCAAATATATACATCCAGGTAATACCCATATAATACTCAAGTAGATATATCTGGATAATAATACATGCAAAGTGGGATATATGTGTTATTTATTACTAATAAACCCGAACTCATTAAAGAATCTACAAGATATAAATCAAAATTTTGATTTATGTTTGACTAACCCAAACATACTACAAGAACAAACAACCAAATTTAAACATTAAACATGGTCTCATATCACTAGGAAGCTTGTACCTATTCAACTTAAGACATTATCAATAAATTTATATTTAAATCTTAATGTAGTAAAGTAGTTTTAAACAAAAACCTTTCCGATTACCTTTATTTTACAGTATAATTACATGTGGTCTAATAATGGTTGTAAATTTTTGTCTTCTAAGCAAAGTAAGTCAGGAGCAGATTCTTTTTGGATTCTTTTGCACAGTGAATATTAACGTTCTTCTTA